TTCTCTTTTATATATATATATATTTTTAAATAGATGATTTAAAGATAAAACAGTTCCAAAGCTGGTTTTCCCCAAAAGGAGAAGGGCAAACTTACCAGGCCAAAGTTGCAGAAATTCAATGCAGACTTTTTTAAAACTGTCAGGAACAAAAAGTTGATCGGGGTTTTAATTTCTAACTGGCAGTAAACTTAAGTGCTTATTGTTTAAGAGAGAAAGCAACCAATCTAATGCCCACAAAAGGAAGCTGATGGTGCCCTGAAGCCCTCCCTTTTTTTGTTTTTGTTTTTGTTTTTTTTTTTTTTTAAAGGATTCTCAACAGCTGCACAATTTGGGTTGTGGCTTTTCCAGCTACACACCTTAAGACACGAGACCCTTTTCAGCCTCCCAGACAAGGGGGTGTTCACACCCCCAGGACAGGGGGGGGGGCACCAGGAATTTGTCCCCACGTCAAAGGGAATGACTGAATAAAAAATATTCCTACCCCCCTGTTGCAAGCCCTAATTTTTGATTTCTTAAAGGACTCTATTTACAGTGCACTCTTGTTGGGCTTATAAATTTTTAGCCCCCCTCTCTTTTCTTTGTCCCGTTTCCAAGCTGAGACCTGCGGGATTCACGACACGAAACATGGGGATGGAACACAAAACTCCAAAAAAAACCCCAAAAAAACCCCCAAAAAACCCCCAAAACCCCAAGCCCACATTGAGAATCCAGCGTTAAAAAGCCAGGGGGAATTACCAGGATGTGATGAGCACCAAGTTATCTCTGGAAAGGACCAAATTCCACACAGCAAAAACTGTAGCACGTGTTACAGCACAGGACAGACATTCCAAACAAGCTTATTCCCGAAACAAAAGGCATATGTGAAAAAACAGTTCCAAGGCAGAGAGAAGCGACAAATGTTTCAAACTGCAAGAGGTTTTTTGTTTTTTTTTGTTGTTGTTCGAAAACGCTCAAATCCTGCTCGGAAAAAAAAAGGAAAATGAAAACCCAAAAAAAGAACCAAAAGGGGGGGTCTCTGTAACTTGTGCAGCAGGAGCTAACGAAACCCAAAGCGAGCCCGACAAGCTTGGCTGTGAAAAGTGTTACAAGCATTCTGGAGACAAAACAGGACGTTATTCAGTCACTCCAATCAGTTCCAAATCCTCGGGGGGGGGATGGGGATGGAAAAATAATCTGTTCAAACATTTCCACTCCTCGACTGTCGCTCTAGAGAGGGTTTTTTTGGAGCAGAGGAAGAGTAAAACCAACCACAGCTCAAGTCCTGAGTCCTCTTGAGCAGTGGAATTTGCTCCACAGTCACAGCTCCCAGCACTCCCCACTGGCAGCGAGTCCAATTCCTTCGTGTGCAAGTCACATTGCCATTGGAAAAAAAAAAGAAACCAACTAAGCCAAGAACCTCTGTCAGGAAACAAATTCAAGTACCTGTTGCAGATGGGGTGAGTAAGGAAGACTGAACATTAGCTAGATTAACACTGGCAGGACTGTGGTGGTCAGCTGTGGCCTAAGAGACACGGCAATTCCTGACCGAGGCGCGACAGGGAAACGTCCCAAGAGTCAAATGTTATCCCATATCTACAGGTACAAAAGGCCTTTTCTTTTTTTCTGGTTTTCTTTTAGGAAATCTTCAGAGCTGGCCAATTGAAAGCACAAGGGGTCCGAGCACATCATTAGCTGAGGTTGGTCAATGCCACTACTACTTCTCACACTGGTGGGTTTTTGTTTTAGGTTCTGGGAGTTACACCTTTTTTTTTTTTTAAGAGATCATCTTTGGTAGATGTTCCATTTCCCTCGTCCTTCTTGTAAATCAAGTGCAGTTACAAAAAAAGTGTTTTTTTTTTTTTGTTACTTAAATTAACCAAAAAATATAAAGTGTCCCAGTCTGAATTTACCTAAAGTTCAGCGACTCCTCCTTATCAGAGTTATAGTTTCCGTCCTTGAAATGGTGAGCTATTTTCCTTCCAATTCCTACCAAGAGGGAAATAAAAGGGATTGTATGTCTTTCTGGTAAAGACAGTCCAATAAAATAAAAAAGAAAAAAAAAAAAAAAAGGAGTAGTTTGTGGAATCAGGCACTGCTTCACTCCCACTGAACATGATCTAGAGCCACCCCTTTATACAGTGCCACGTCATATCCCTCTGGGATCCTCTTGATCAGAGAGGAGAAAACGTCACTAGAAAGAGCAGTGCTGAAACAATGCACTTTGCTTGGTTTTAAAAAGCCCTCAAATCTTAATGTCTGGGCACTTCTGTAACATAAAATCCCACTTTTCCTCCTGGGTCAAGTGGACTGTTGGAGGGTGCACCTAGAATTGAGTTTTCTCTGAAGTCACGCAGTGCCACACACTCACCTCGCACACCCACACACACCCCACACACACATCCCACACACACCCCACATGCTGCTACAGTGTCTGAGTGTCACAGGCTGCGTTCTCTGGGTGAAGGAGCCCCTCTGCTCTTCCTTCCTCGCTGAAGGCTGAAGACAACTATGCCAGGATATTGGAGATAAACTCGTTGAAGCGTTTCGAGTACTGCTCGGGGTTCACGGTGGAGATCTCTGCCCCGGCCTGCAAGGCAGAGACAGAGCAGTCAAACACCCTCCTCCAGGGGCCAGGAGGGATGGCAGGGAGGGATCATGGGCAGCTCTGCTGGGAAAGACCCATAACAGTGTGCAGGTTCTAGAGAGATCCCCAAGGAAACTGCTTTTAGCTCCAGCTGCGTCTTCAGACCACAGAGACAAAGCACTGCCTTTGTTTCCTCGTGGTTTACAGGAGATTTAGAAGGAGCATAAAGAAATCATAATGGCTGGAGCTGGGCCAGGGGAGGGTTAGGCTGGATATTAGGAAAATATCTTCTTTCCCCAGAGGGTGGTTGGGCACTGACCAGGCTCCCCAGGGCAGTGGGCACAGCCCCAAGGCTGCCAGAGCTCCAGGAGTGTTTGGACAATGCTCTGAGGGACAGGGGGGGATTGCTGGGGTGTGCTGGGCAGGGCCATGATCCTGATGGGTCCCTTCCAACTCCTTCTATATAAACTCCACATGGTGGTGGTGGTGGGTTGATGGTTGGACTCACCGACCTTAAAGGTCTTTTCCAACCTTAACAATTCCGTGATTCCATGTCCTGCTACAACCTGGGCTTTTTTCAAGCCCTTTTGGGCAGCTCAGGATTGCTGCCAGTGAACAGGAGCAGCCCCCCTGCAGCCAGTGAACTCCTGCACCTCCCAAACTGGGATGGAAATACAAATCATCCCCAGCCAGCCAGAAGGAAAACCTTTGTGGGACAGCGACGAGGGGAGAGCTGCTCCTGTGCAGAATTTCCACACTGGGAGGAAAATCAATGCCAGGAGACCCCCCCCCACACACACAGAGGGCCATGCAGGCAGAGCAGAAGCCCCCCAAGGCCATGCCCCTGCCCCTGCCAGGCTTACCCCGTGTTTCACTGTTTTGGCAGCATGTGCAGCTTTCTTCTTCGCGTCGTAGGGCGTGAGGATGTCTATGATGGCCATGAAGTAAACTTCCTTCTTGGGGGCACCTGGCAAGGCAAGAGAGTCTGGCTGGCACCCCCTGAGCAAAGCCCAGCTCGGCTCCCCTCCTCCACAGACACCCAGCAGAGCTGGCAGGGAGAGCAGAGCAGCTGGAGGCTGCAGGAGGGCAGGGAACACCAGCCCACCAGAAGCATCACTTCCACCCGTTCCAGCTCAGCGCAGCGAAGGGGAGGGACAGCCCTGCCACTGCACCGAGCCCAGGGCACCTCCTGTGCCCACCACAGCTCCCCCCCAGCCCCACAACACTCACTTTCGTGGCTTTTCATGGCGTAGACGTCGACGGAGGGGTCGAACTCGCCGGGCCCGAAGAAGCGGGGGTAGTTGAGGAGGTTTCCGGGGCTGTCCGGGGGGGTCCCGTAGGAGGAGATGGGGTTTCCCCCCAGCCCATCGTTCTCACACTCCTCGTCCTCTGCCCGATCCTCCACTTCCATCTCCTCCTGCTCTGCCCGGTCCACGTCGTGGATCCCAACCAGCAAACTGTAATCCATGATCTTCAGCTGAGCTAGAAACTGGGGGAGAGAGAGAGGAGTGAGACCGGCAGCCACGTGGGATCAGAAACCCTCAGTCCTGCCCTGCCAGTGCCTCCCTAAGCAAGGGCTGCAGCGTGAGAGCTAAACCCTTTTCAGACTCCAGAGAACCTACACACGAGCTCCCAGGCCCACTGCCCTCACAGGAGCCTGACTGATCCAGGAGGGACTCGCTCTCCAGGCACTGCTGCACCCCTGGAGCCAGAGGCCCCAGTGAGGATCCAGCCACGGGAGGCAGAGGAAGAGCTGTCCCCCTGGAAACTACCTCCACGTCCCGCTTCAGCTTCTCAAGGAAGTTCTTTTTGCTCTCTTCTCCAACGTGCAGCTTCTGACCCTCATTCAAGAAGTCGTTGTCCTTGAACGTTGGGAGATCCTTGGCCTGCAATGAAAAGCCTGTGTCAAATTCTCCAGCCCTGGGGGGAGAGCTGGACCA